AGGCAGTTACTCCTGGGAGCCACGGAAACGTTCGAGATCTTCACCGATCATCAGAATCTCGAGTACTTTCGGAAGCCGCAGAAGCTCAATCGACGGCAAGCACGATGGATCACGGAGTTGGCGGAGTTCGATTTCACCTTACGACACCGACCCGGCGCACTCAACCGCAAGGCGGACCTCCTGTCCCGACGAGCAGATCACGATCAGGGCAAGAACGATAACAAGGACGTCACGCTACTGAAGCCCGAGTTCTTCCGATCACAAGAAGTCACATTCGAGGGACAGGATCAGCAGCTAATCGATGAAATCAAGGCCATTCGATCAATCGATGGAAGCGTCAAGGCAGCCTTAGAGAAATCACTCGTCGGATGGAAGAAGGAAGAGGGGCTTATCACGTACCATGGGAAGCTCTACGTACCAAGAGACGAGGAGTTGCGGGACAAAATCATCGGACTACACCACGACACCCCTTTGGTCGGACACGCCGGGATCAACCGAACGCAGGAGATGGTGGAAAGGAACTACTGGTGGCCAAGGATGGGAAACCAAATTCGGAAATACATCCAGACGTGCGAAGCGTGCCAGCGGACCAAGACCAGAAGAGCCAGGACAGGGAGTTTGCACCCGCATACAGTTCCAAACGCGCCGTGGGAAATCATCTCCATGGATCAAATCGGACCCTTGCCGGTCAGTAACGGGTATGACGCAATCCATGTGTGGTGTGACACCTTCACCAAAATGATCCACGTCGAACCAATTAGTACTGACATCAGCAGCGAAGGAGTGGCACGACTTACCAGGGACCGAGTCTTTCGCTACCACGGGATCCCTCGCAAGATCATCACCGACAGGGATTCGCGTTACATCAAGGGCTTCATGAGGGAAACGAATCGGATGTTGGGCGTGGAAATGAATCCGGGGACCGCATATCACCCAATCACGGATGGGCAGACAGAACGCATGAATCAGGAGATCGAGCATTATCTCCGCATCTACGTCAATTACCATCAGACGGACTGGTCGGAGTGGCTAGGGATGGCAGAATTCGCATATAACGACAAGATGAACACGTCCACCAAAGTATCGCCATTCTATGCGAATCACGGATATCACCCATGGAAGGGAGTGGAGCAACGGATGGAGTCGAGAAACGAGTCGGCGGAGGAATTTGTAAAAAGAATGAAAGAAATACAAGACGAAGCAAAAACAGCACTAGAAAAAGCAAAAGAAAAAATGAAAAAATACTACGATAAACAAAGAAAAGAAGTTCCGGAGTTGAAGGTTGGGATGAAGGTGTACATAGAAGGGGAAAATATCGAGACGGATCGACCATCAAAGAAGATGAGCGACAAGAGATTGGGACCATACGAGATACTGGAGAAGGTTGGAGCGGCCGCATGGAAGCTGGATTTACCGGACACGGACCGAAGACATCCGGTGTTCAACGAGTCACTGTTGACACCCTATCACGAACCACCCCCCCATCGCCGAGAGAAGAGGCCTGTAGCCAAGATGATCGGAGGAGCAGAAGAGTGGGAAGTCGAAGAAATCGTGAAAGAGCGAAACGTCGGCCGAGGGAAACAGTACTTGGTCAAATGGAAGGGATGGCCGCATAGCGAGAACACCTGGGAACCATCACGTCATCTTACCCACGCGAAGAAGGTCCTGAGAGATTGGCAGAGGAAACAATCCAACCCAGACACACGCATTCGCCTCCTGCCAACTCTCGAAACCGGACATTGGGATTACCTCATCCATCGCTACAAACCCAAAGACGAGCGCCTTCCATATCCCCAGCGACAACTCTTCGATCCGTACGAAAACGTCTTCACGCCCATTGGCCTAGTCGATGAGGACATCGACCCTAGAGAGGGGGTAATGTCATAATTCAACTCTTTTTCATCTTATCATCGACGATCTTATCTTATCTTGGCACGACTTATCTTATCACGGATCACGGCATCAGACGGTCCGGGCTAGGGGTTCCAGGGGTTATCTCTATCGATTCAAGGCTGCGCGACATATGCTCCGGAAGGTTCTACTACAACCCATGACCAGTGCTCCATGCGGTACATAGCCCTATGACTCATTAGTTGTAGATATGACTCAGACTGGATTTGGGTATAAATACTGTAGCTACTTGGTTGTATTCTCCAGTCTTCGAATTCACTTCTCTTTTCGACTTTGTTCTTGGGTTGATTGTCATAGCTGCGCATGCTCCGCACTTCCAGGAGCTTCTTCCCCAGCATATCCGCCTTGATGATGTGACGGACACAGATGCGGAAGCTGTTCAGAAGCTGAAGAAGGCAGATGCGGGGAGAGGGGAGCGTGCGGCAAGGCACCAGCCGGGAATGTCAAAGAAGGTCATGTCGTGGATCTGGACGGTGAAGCTCCCGGGTGTAGAAGAATCAGAGACACTTCATGACTGTGAGTGCACTTACCTGGCTAACATCATGCACTGATGTGTGCATTGGTAGCGATTCGTCTTGAGTGGTGCCGTGCAAAAGCCCGCAAGAAGCGTTGGGAGGAGGAGGTGCTCTTGCTCAGGGAAGAGATGCGGAGGGTGCTGAGAAGCATTGACTACGAGGCTGCAGCATGGACGAAGCGCGCCGAGGTAGAACGTGACGATCTAGAAGTGGAGGTCCATGCAGGAGTCAAAGCCTACGCGCTGAAGCAGGCAGATTGGTGCCACCGGCTTCATGATCACTTTCGTTCAGAGTTCGATGTGCCACTCGCCGAGGCCGCTGCGAAGGTTCATGAGGTCGACTATGGCGGTGTACAGGATTTGTTTAACAGTGGGCAGTAGTTTATTGGGGCCGGCTTGGATTACATGAATACGGGAGGGAGTACACTACACAGCATACAAGGTTCTGCTGGCGAACATGAGCGAGAAGGCCAGACTGGAGAGCGGGACACGCACACAGGTACCTGAAGCCCCACCATCCCTGTCTCCTGAGTCCTACTCCACACACGGCGATGGACGATGCGAGATTCAAGGCCCAAGATTCATTGTTTAAGGGCAGGAGTACAAATTGTGCAGAGGGAGAGCCAGTCGTCGTCAGGGAGGGTGGGGACAAAGCGAAATGATGTCAGCCAAAGACCGTAGAATGCTGTGCCAGACTGCCAGTGCCACGTCGTTGCTCCAGCGCCACGTCACTCCCGCCATCTCATCCCGCCTGTCATCTTGTGGCCAACAGCGGCCGAGTGGCTCCTTCAATTGCAGACCAGCCTACGTGTTCATGTTTCCTCTCTCACCCGCCCCCCACTCCCGTAAGATGCACGAGCTACTGGACGAATATCCTCGAACGCGCACTCCAACATCACCTGTTCCTCGACGTGTCCGGCAAGCGTATTCTGGCATCCCCAAGCATTGTAGAAGCCGGGTTGCTGCCTGCGTTGCATCCATGTATTATCATACCCGTACATACAGCGCCTGTAATTTTAATCAATTTATTTTGTTTTTGTCTTTTTGATCCTACTGTATGCTTTGTTTGTGAGGACGCGGTGTCCCTGTACATCGGGTTTGATGCGTACATGAAGCGGGATGGCGATCAAATGCCACGATATTGTCTCAATTGGGAAAGGATCAAGTTTTGTGATGAGCATTGAACATTGCACGGTGATCTAGTGCAACTGTACTTGATGGCATAGTTGGCAAGCTAGCCGACAAACGTATGGAATCATGTGAGGACCATATGGTCATGTGCACAGTATGGCTGAGAGACAGTGGAAGGAAAAGTTAGTGGTTCTACCCAGCCCACGGGTAGAACTGGCCCGGAAGGCATATGGAATTGTGGGTAGATCCATGGCCGAAGCCTTATTCCTACGACTAGGGTTGGCCAGCACACTTTTTATTTTGCAAAGTGTCCCAAGCAGTCCCGGCCATCTTGAACGCGGCGGCCGCCCCACTGTACGACTGCGCTCACCTTTCCACTCTTCGCTCGTACCCTCTCTCTTATTTCAGGTGAATGAGACTACCTACAGGCGGTACACACAGACCTATGATGACACACCAAGAGACCGTGATCCGAATACACTCGCCATCAGTTGCGAAGTTTGACCGAAGTTTGACCGCCAGGCCAGATTTGGAAGGTGCTCCTATCTCTAGACTTACTCTTATCCTTTTGTGATTCATCACAAGTCGTTCCTTGCTGCTCAAATCTCCGGTGAGATCTTGAAGAAAATTGCTGTTCGCTGAACTCATATTTCAGGGCTAGTCAAGTATATCGTCCTTGTCGCATCGCTTGACCTGATTCGTATTCTGTCTTGATTGAGGCGAGTACAGGTGAATGGTGAAGGAAACTTGTTCGAAGTCGGACTGAGCTATCGGATCTGAGCTTTACCCAACAACACGATTGACGCGGAGCCCCCTTAACTCAGCGCCAGTCGTCTTGTTGAAACAGGGCTCGTGGGTATAGAAACAATCACATGGCCACTTTTCACGGTCGTGCTTTGTGTTAGGTACATGCTATACTGATATGATTCTATTCAAATGCTACGCTACTGACTACAGACGACTTAATGAGTACTTGCTACCTACTGGATACATCAAAACGGATACAGAAAGAGTGTGAGTGTCTTTGTCGACACCCTTAGTGCTAGCATTTAGTCAAATACTTTGGTAGTAGCCAAAGAAATTGCTTTCAAATCTTTGGTAGTAGCCAAAGCTGGCTGCTACCAAAGATTTGAAAAGCGTTGTTTTGGCTACTACCAAGATTTTTGACTAAGTGACCATGGCTTACTCATCCTGTACACCCCTGCCCGCTGTCAGATCACTACGGCCGTTGTCGGCATGTCATTGACCATCACCCCCGTCAGTCCTGAGGCGATTCCGTCAACACCAAGCGTGATGTGATCAATCCCGCCTCTCGATAACCGCGCTTGACGCCGATAAGCAGATAAGAATCCCTGATGCGCCCAATATGCATGAGATCGATTAAGATAGATAATGGATAATCCTGCCCTGATCTGATCACGCGCCCCGACAATAAGTCATACGCCTATGATATTACACGCTCTTGATGCAGTCCCGAAGTGCTTCCTATGCTACTGCCCCATTTCTTCAGCAACGAGCCCCTAAGCTTTAAATGCCAAGCCGACTGCTTTGCTGCAAAGGCTGCTGCGCCTGCCGCCACTTCCGCACTGAAATCCTCTCTCAGGTCAACCCGGACCTTCCACCAACTGGACTGCCAATCCAGATACGCGCAAACCCTCCTCATCTCCTCTCGCAGGAGCAAAACTTCCTCTGCCCACCGATCCCGCCGCGCCCTTGCTCTCGCCCACTCGACCCGTATTGCTGTCAGAATGGTTAGTGCAACGCCAGCCTGTCAAATCTTGTACTCACACTCATGCAACTCTTCTTCCTCCTTCTCCAATGCCCCCTTCGCCGTCCAAATCCATGACATTACTCGCCTCGACGCGCCCTTGTCCTGCCTAGGAGCGCGACCAGCTCCCAGAGCCATCAACTTCTTGGCAGCCGCTTCGTCACTCTCAGCTGCTGTGTTCTCTGGTGCGACGCTGATGCCATTCATGTGCAAATCCTCCGGCAACAGCGGACGCAGGTAGTCAAAATCGACCTCCTTTCCACACCCCACCAGCGCCTCCCGTCCCCTCCGGTACCGCGCCGCCGACTGGTTGACCTTCTCTCCAATCTCGTCTATGATTGTCCGACCCTTGGTGGACTGCACCTGCCCAGTCACATTCGCGTTTCGGAAGCTTATCATGTGCCGCTTGGCATGCAGCCGCGCGCGCACTTGAGCCAAGCTATTCTCGCACTGCGCGACCCGCAACCGAACCTCCATGCCAACTAGACCCTCTACACATCCTCGGTCCTTCCCCAGCGACCCCGGCATCTCGCTCGGCATCCAGAGCTTGATCTTCTCTGGCAAAGGTGCTGGCGACACCTCGGCTTGCTCTATCACAGCACCAGCCCCAGGTATGTATATCCGCTGGAGGTCCCGAAAGCGGTCGATCTTCACCAGAAGGGAACGCCTCCATTCTTCGATTCGGTTGGCGCGATCACCTGCGATGACAACAGTCCCTGAGATCTCCAGACACAGTCTCCGCCTGTCATGCTTGTCAGTCACCTCAAGCCACCTTGCGACACTGGAAACGCACTGGGCATCCTCGATCTGGATTCCCGCAATCAGAAACGCGGTAGCGCTCTGTCCCTTCAGCGGAAGGCAACCCTCAGCCAGCAAACGCTCTTCGTCCTTGCGTAGCTCCAACCGCACCGCGTTCTCTGTCACGCACACTGAACTGCTCTGTTAGCGCACCAAACCTCCGCTCTCAGCAACCCACATACCTGATGTTATCAGCACGTAAGGATTTGGTTTGGAGCCATCCACCAGCCAATCATCGATCATCTTGATCCACTTGCCCATGAGCTTGCTCGTCACCGAAGAACTGACGTCCGCAAACGCGACCGACTGAATCTTCCATTCACGTTCGGCCACCCGCAGCCGAGCTGGAAGAACCGTTGCTATCCATGTATCAGCAAGTCACTCATGAGGCATCCACTCCACTGACGCACCAAAGCCAAGATTCTTCATGAAGTTGTGGCGGTCGATCCTTTCCTCCAGCACATCTGCCCTCATCCCCAGCCCTGCAGTTTTCGTCGCATAACCTGTCGGGTTCAGCGCTGCCCACACGCGCTCTATTCCCTCCCCATCTGTCTTCCCAACACCCGGCTTGAAAGACAGGCTGTTTGTGCTCTGGCAGTCCGCGTTGTGTGAGGCAGCGTGCCACACAGGCAACCCGCATTGAATCTTCATCTTGTCCAGCGGCAGGTGCAGCGATTCGGGCAGCTTCTCCATACGTGTCTTCAAGTTCAGCTTCCATTGACAACCAATGTCATACGATAGTGTCAACCACATGAGTGAGAATCCCAGCAATGCGGAGAACACAATAAAGGCCATGTTCGCGTATCTGTATCTCTGCGTCAGCCTCCTTCTCCTTCACCAAACTTTTGTTTCGCACCTTTCTCCTTTCTGCAAATCACCAAGGCCATTGGGCCGCATGATCTCGTGACGAGCGCACACACATCCTCCAACCCCCGAAACCCGCAAGCCCATCGTAAGTCGAGTGTTCTTCTGCAGGAGAGCAGCAAAGGCGATACATGTACTGGTCTGCGAGAGGGATCAATTCAAGTCATGTGTAATCCAAAACAGAACCATACATCCTCTTCTGACACGTAATTCTTCAGATGTTCTTTGTATTCGTCTGGCGGGACCCAATATCCATAACCTGGGCCTAGCGATGGGTCTTCAATCTCATGCGCACGTATTCGATTCTTCAACCGGAAGTTCGCATCCACAGCCAACAATAGCATGAATAAGAATCTAATCAGAGCTTAGTCAGCGCATTCACGATCTGGCACTTCCCGCTCACCGAAACGAAGCATGAACGTCTTGCCAGTCCGAAGGCAAGTTCCTGCCTTCCTGAGGACAGGCCCAACAGCGTATTGCGCACTCTCCCAGCTTCGTCCCCTCCACCCCTCGTGGATCGTGCCCTCGACCGGCCCGAAGTAAGCGCAGCAAGAACGCCCATTGCCGTGCTATCCGCTGCAGCTGCTTGTAGCGATCCTGCGCTCTCAATCAGCCACCCATCATTGTGAACCGCGCAGTCGATTACGTACCACGGTCTTTGACAATCCACATCTCGAGCTGACATTTGACATCTGCTCCAGCGACGAAGCAAAGTCTCTCGCGTTCAAGCTCCCCACAGTTGAGTACAGGCGGAACGACTCCAGAGTCTCAAACGTCGCGCACGTCCCGGGGTCAATCGTTGTTGCTGGATACCACCCATTACGCAGCAGCTGCTGCACCTTACTCGAGTCGTCAGACTTGCTGCAGTTGCAGTAGCGAATGCGTATATCATGGATCCGTGGTGCGTGCATTATCACCATTCGGACGTCTTTCCGCATTGGGAAACAACAGGGCTGGCCACCATGACCCATCTGGTAGATAAGGCCCAGCGCAGCCAGGGAGACTTTTGTCCACCAACTCCCATTCCATTCCTACCACCACCTACGTCAGTTTGCCTTTAGCAGTCGGGCATTTGTACGTACCTCCACCGCATGCAGCGGCTGTGTCTGATGTGCTTTCATTAAGCAGGCCTTGCATTGTAGGAAGCAGCCGCAATCCATGCACCTGAATATTCCTTCCTCCCCACCTTCCCCCTCGTCTCCCAGACGCGAGCAGATGGCTTCCTTACAAATCGCACAGGTGGGGTTCAACATTTCATCAGCCAGGCCATGGTGTCACATGATCTCATCCAGGTACAGTGACATCCAAGGGCGCCATAAAGACATAGGATCGCGCTGAAATTCTCATTAGCGACAGCGCCTCTACCCGACCCCGACCCGCTCACGTACCGTGCTGCGGTAAATCTTTGGTCCATCTCCACCAACATGTGATTCGTCTTTGTTGGCGCTCTCCCCATCATCCGTCTCATTGTCATCCAGCAGAGCCGGGTCAGTGTCCTCTGTTGGAAGAGGGGACACATTCTCGTCCTGCTCTATGTCTGGCAAAAACTCCGACGCAAACTCGATCCCCCCCGAGGCATCCAATGAGGAATGGCCTGGGACCCATCGCGCTTTTGACCTTCCACCGCGCGTTTCCCCATCAGCTACCCTTCGCCTCTTCTTGCTCGCTCTCATCTCATGCACATCTCCCACACCATCGGTCGATAGATAAACAGCGAAATCGCCACGCGCTGGCGGTGCTCGAGCATTGGTGTGTAGAATTTCTTGAAGCGCTTTGTGGCTAGGGCGGCCAGTGCGGCGAGGGGGCAATGAGAACGGAAAGGACATGACGCAGCAACGGTGGTAGGAATTGGCGATTCGGGTCTCGGAAGCAGGCAGTTGCACCCGTGTTTCATTTTACATCATCCAATTCTGGAGGTCCATTTTTTGCAATTGTCTCGCGTGATTATCATGCCATACAAACCTTTTCTACAACCAATGTAAAATTATAATGCATACAGTCTGGCGCGCTCGCAATTCGAAATCTTAACCCAATGCACCGTTCCAGCACCGTTCCTCAGGAAGGTAAATTATGTGTTTAGTAAGATCTGCCCCAAGAGATCTGCAATTGCTACACCTGATGTTGATCGCTGGGCAATTGCTACACTTGATGCTGATTGCTGATCGGTCAATATCATATTCTCCATCACCGATCTCTCTGAATCTATCTACAATTTACTCTGAGCACGCTCGAATATCTCCGGGTTTTCTCTGCTTGGAGTGAGTATGGAAAGTTGTGAGAGGCTTGCGAAACTGACCTGTCCTCCGGCATCTCCACCCAAACCCTTTTAGCTTGTTTGCCATCGGTCAGCAACGCACAAGATCTATCATACCAGATCATTGACACCACATGGCTGGCTGCATGCCAACAAGGAATATCGGGCCGTGCAAGAATGTTGAACCGGGCATTGTCCCCGACTTCGCTGCTGCTGGATTAGTGAGAACGGCTGAAGGAAGGCTTTGAGAACATACCCTTGCAGAGGTCAATACAATCCAGTATGCATGCACGAATCTACTGAGTGTTCAGAAGTTCGGCATGTACCAGCAGCTGGTGAGCACTCATTGCTAGTGATGTGCAGGTGTTCTATGCCCGTCAAGACCGCCTTCGATTGCCCGGTTGTTGTCACCCCCCTCGGCAATTACGACCCGACCCTGGGCGGTGATTTCTCAATTTCTCAATGGTATGGGAAGGCTAGTGTCGAGTTCCCACCAGGCGCGCAATCGAGCGTTACTCAAAGTATGGAGACGTAGTGATTTTGGCTTAGCAGACATTCTTCGGACATAGCAGTGCGTATTCCATGGGGTCATCCAACATCTCGCTGACTTCGTATCCAGCAGCCCGCAGTCTCCTCATCTCCACCTCCTGGGAACGCCTCCGTCGTTCGCGCTTCTTGTCAATGTAGATCTCGTAGGCGTCCGGTCCAAATGTGTTGAAGTAGTGCCTGTAGTTGTCTAATAAGCACCCCTTCCGGCGTGGCCGTGATATTGTTAACCCACCAGTTCCTTCGTTGCACCGCTAGAATGCGGAGATGATACCGATGTCGTTCGCGATATCGTGCATGATTGTTCCTGTTTTGAGCCAGACAAGCCTCCCGTTCGTCTGGTGCACGGGAATGGATCCACTTTCGATTTCCGCTGCCGCATCTGGCGTCCTGAGCGTCATCGTGCATGCACACAAGCATAGAATGGGAGGGGGGCGGAGAAGAACACATGCGTATGGCCACCAATCACAAATCGTCATGACAATTGACATCTTGCATCATTAGCTATGTTTAGAGACTACGTAGAAACTAAAATCTACTGGTCAACCACTGAAACACTGGCGGATGAAATGCCCTGCTCTATCATAGCTTGAAAGATTTCCTTCGGAAGGGATTGAGCCTGGAGGGCTCTCAGACTCTTGTATCACCGAACAACGGAACAGATCCGGAGAGGAATGACACAGAGTGTGCGAATGTGATTGCACGAATCGCATTCTGATGGTAACATTCACACATTGATGGTGTCAGCACATAAAACAAATTCTCTTGAAAGGTGGAAAGCTGTATTTGTCCTTTATTTGGTCAAGCCTCTTGGGTGACCAGGTCACTCAATTACACTGAGATTTTGGGAATGTGCTATTCCTAGGCAGTACTTGCTGCCTGAGTACAAGAATAATAATTTGAGTAGCTAGTATTTCTCTTGAACGCTCCCTGCTTTCTTTGTTTGTCCTTTATTTGGTCAAGCCTCTTGGGTGACCAGGTCACTCAATTACACTGAGATTTTGGGAATGTGCTATTTCTAGGCAGTACTTGCTGCCTGAGTACAAGAATAACGATTTGAGTAGCTAGTATTTCTCTTGAATGCTCAGAATGCGGGAGTCAAAGCATACCAAGCAAGAAGAAGCAGAGAAGCAGCGAGCAAAAATCGTGATTGAGGAAGGACAGCGATACATGTCATAATTCGACTCTTTTTCATCTTATCATCGACGATCTTATCTTATCTTGGCACGACTTATCTTATCACGGATCACGGCATCAGACGGTCCGGGCTAGGGGTTCCAGGGGTTATCTCTATCGATTCGAGGCTGCGCGACATATGCTCCGGAAGGTTCTACTACAACCCATGACCAGTGCTCCATGCGGTACATAGCCCTATGACTCATTAGTTGTAGATATGACTCAGACTGGATTTGGGTATAAATACTGTAGCTACTTGGTTGTATTCTCCAGTCTTCGAATTCACTTCTCTTTTCGACTTTGTTTTTGGGTTGATTGTCACATAATTCGAAGACTCCCCTCATACCCTCGTACCTCTTACCTCCTACCCTGCTCTGTGCACCGCTACGCCCGCTATATCCTCTTCACCCTTACCACCCCACTCACCCTTTTACCGAATCATCTAGTCGCTCGCTGCGATCGCAGTGAAAGGTTCATATCGAGCAAACAGCACCAGGCCACGGGTAACGTTGAGCCCGACCCAAGCCTTACGGTAGCTACAAGGAGTGCTGCGGAGACCTTCGGGAAAACGCACCTCGGGATCATCGGGCACGTGAAGAGCTAGGCCCGGGATCCTTTTGCTAGCAAAAGAACCTTTCCTCGAGTGCTTGTACAGCACACGAATCCACCATTTCGTACCGATTCCCATCATCATCTGGGAGCCCATCCCCTCCCCCCATCATACCATCGTTGCCCGATCTGGCGCATCAAAACGAACCCGGGCCCTCCAACCCCTACCTCGCCCTCCCGCCGCCTGAAGACGAGTTCCCCGACCTTGGCGAGTTACCCTCCGAACAACCACCCTCGCCCCCACCTACTGCACCTGCTCCTACCATGTCAGGACATCACCGCATCACCCTCGCTGCCAACCCCCCCTACTTCGATGGCGACAAGTCCAAATACCTGGGCTTTGTGGACGCGTGCACCACTTACATCGGTGCCTATCGATCGGAGTTCTCACTGGATGAGACAAAAATCCTCTTTGTTCTGTCCTACCTCCGTAATGAGACCGGCACAAGCTGCGCCGCCTCGAGATGGGCGATGAACTGGAAGCAGCACAACTTCGAGGGTTTCCAAGGAATGAAGACGGGAGTCACCGCGACAACCTTCTTGGAGGAGTTCCAAAAGGCCTTTGGGGATTCTAACGCAGAACAAGTCGCCGCTGCCCGACTCATGGCCCTTCGCCAGGGGAGACGGTCCTTCGCGGACTACATCTCTGACTTCGAAATGCTGGCTGCGGACGCGGGGTACAACGTGGTCGCCTCAACCGATGACAAGGGCGAGTACAAGAAGGGGGATCAGGACAACATCCTCATCGAGTTCCTCGAGCGCGGACTCAGCAGCGAAATTGCAAGCCGCCTCTACAACACCGGCGTTCCCCTGCCCAAGGCATATGGTGCCTTCAAGAACTGGTGCGTCAACATCGAGGCCAATGCCTTGCGCGATCAGCTGCGTAAGGCATCCTATGCGCACTCAACTCCGCGGCCCCCACCCCAATTCCGCCCTCAGGCTGCACCATCAGCACCTGCACCCGCTCCGGCCCGACCAGCGGCCAATGAGCCGGTTCCGATGGAGATCGATCGCACCCACGCCCGTGGCCGCAACATCATCTGCTACAACTGTCAGCAGCCTGGGCACATTGCGCGGAACTGCCCTGAGCCCAAGAAGAAGCGCACGTTCTTCAATCGGGCCACAATGCTAGAAGAAATCGAGAACGGGGACAAGGACAACGAGTTCCTGAAGGAGATCGCCGAGAAGCTGCGCGAGAAGGGTTTTTGAAGCGCTCCACTCCTCTAGCCAAGGAGGTGGAGCGTCCGGACTATGGACGTTTTTCTGTACTTGTTTCGATTAAAGACATGAACGATTCTACACATACATATACAATCTCGGACTCATTACGTACCAATATTCATGATTTTCTCATTGCTGATATGGAAAAGGAACGACAAAGAAAAATAGTTTTAAATAGAGAGTATTTACAAAGTAAAAAGGATCAGAAAGCCGTGGATAAATTAATTTTGGACTCCTACGTATTTATGGCTCGTGGAGAAGGAACCACGTCAACAAAGACCGAAAAGGGGAGCATCGCTCCGGAGGCTCAATCCTTGAAAAAGGAGGAAGCGCCCAAGGAATCTGCCGAAATCAAGGTTCCAGAAGTACCCAAGCGCACAAGGGTGCCAGATGCCGTTCAAAGGAAATTGGCGGCCGAGAAACAGAAGGGCCCCCAGCCCAGCAGACTGGCGCAGGAATTGCGCAACTACCAGGCCGAAAGGAAGAGACATTCGATGGACGTATATGTCCAGATCACAGGCCTGGACTCAGGAAAGACGCGCGGGGTTAAGGCGCTACTCGACAGTGGCTGTAGCACCTGCTGCATCGATACCGATTACGCGCGGGCAGAGAAGCTGGATATCCAAGAACTTCCCCAACCCATTGTGGCTCGTAACGCCGACAACACCGAAAACATCAGCGGCCGGATCACGCATTACGTTGACCTAAGGATGAGAATCGGTCCTCACGAGGAGACACGCACGTTCCTTCTGACGTGCTTGGGGAAGGCCCGGATCTTCATTGGTCTTGACTGGCTGACGGAACACAACCCGGAGGTGGATTGGCAGGAGCAAACGATGAGATTCAGCCGATGCCCAGAACGGTGTCACATGAGGGGTCACGAGGAACACCAAGCGATGATTGACATGGATGCAATCGACCTGGACACGAGCGCACCGGATCTGGAAGAGGGAGAATCGATCCTGCTGATCGACTTTGGAAAGGAGGTGGATCTACGGCTGAAGGAAACACCGGCGCAGAAATTCGCAGAAGAAGCGGAAAAAGAGAAGGAGAGGATGACCGAAGGGAAAATTCCGGATCAATACCGGGAATTCGTCAAAGTATTTGCCAAGGAATCATTCGACTCATTACCGGACCGACGAACCTGGGATCATGCGATTGAGCTCAAACCCGGTTCCAAAGCAGTGGACTGCAAGGTGTACCCGCTATCACGAAACGAGCAGGTCAAACTCGACGAGTTCTTACAAGAGAACCTGGCCAGCGGACGAATCAGGCCATCAAAATCACCCATGGCCTCAGCATTCTTCTTTGTCAAGAAAAAGGATGGCTCCTTACGTCCCGTCCAGGATTATCGGAAGCTGAACGAGATGACAATCCGAAATCGATACCCGCTGCCACTGATCTCCGAGCTGGTCCATAATCTATGCGGCGCCAAGTTCTTCACCAAGCTCGACATCCGATGGGGATACAATAACGTACGGATCAAAGAGGGTGACGAGTGGAAGGCTGCGTTCCGCACGAACCGTGGACTGTACAAGCCCTTGGTCATGTTCTTTGGTCTCACGAACTCCCCGGCTACCTTCCAAAACATGATGAACGACATACTCCGAGAATTGATCAACGAGGGACACGTGGTAGTCTATCTGGACGATATACTGATCTTTACAGAAAACTTGGACAAACATCGGCGGATCACGAAACGAGTGCTCGAATTGCTCCAGAAACACAAGCTATACCTGAAGCCGGAAAAGTGCGAGTTCGAACGCACGGAAATCGAATATTTGGGTGTAATTATTGGACACAATTCGATGCGGATGGACCCAGTCAAGATCAAGGGCGTGATGGAATGGCCGGAACCAAAGAGCGTCAAACAAGTCCAAGCGTTTCTAGGGTTCACAAACTTCTATCGGCGCTTTGTCCGGGGATACGCGGAGGTTGCCAAGCCGTTGACGCGGCTGACAGGGAAGGCAGGATGGTCATGGGGTGCAGATGAGCATGCGGCATTTGATGGATTGAAGAAGAGAATCGCGGAGGATGCGGTCCTAGCACTGCCAAATGACACTGGCCAATATCGTCTGGAAGCCGATGCTTCGGAAGGGGCAACAGGCTCCGTTTTGAGCCAAAACCAAGACGGCATTTGGCGCCCAATCGCATTTATTTCGCACGCATTGACCGAAACCGAGCGAAATTACGAGATCTACGACAAGGAAATGCTCGCAATCATGTTATCACTTGACGAATGGAGGCAGTTACTCCTGGGAGCCACAGAAACGTTCGAGATCTTCACCGATCATCAGAATCTCGAGTACTTTCGGAAGCCGCAGAAGCTCAATCGACGGCAAGCACGATGGATCACGGAGTTGGCGGAGTTCGATTTCACCTTACGACACCGACCCGGCGCACTCAACCGCAAGGCGGACCTCCTGTCCCGACGAGCAGATCACGATCAGGGCAAGAACGACAACAAGGACGTCACGCTACTGAAGCCCGAGTTCTTCCGATCACAAGAAGTCACATTCGAGGGACAGGATCAGCAGCTAATCGATGAAATCAAGGCCATTCGATCAATTGATGGAAGCGTCAAGGCGGCCTTAGAGAAGTCACTCGTTGGATGGAAGAAGGAAGAGGGGCTTATCACGTACCATGGGAAGCTCTACGTACCAAGGGACGAGGAGTTGCGGGACAAAATCATCGGACTACACCACGACACCCCTTTGGTCGGACACGCCGGGATCAACCGAACGCAGGAGATGGTGGAAAGGAACTACTGGTGGCCAAGGATGGGAAACCAAATTCGGAAATACATCCAGACGTGCGAAGCGTGCCAGCGGACCAAAACCAGAAGAGCCAGGACAGGGAGTTTGCACCCGCATGCAGTTCCAAACGCGCCGTGGGAAATCATCTCCATGGATCAAATCGGACCCTTGCCGGTCAGTAACGGGTATGACGCAATTCATGTGTGGTGTGACACCTTCACCAAAATGATCCATGTCGAACCAATTAGTACTGACATCAGCAGCGAAGGAGTGGCACGACTAACCAGGGACCGAGTCTTCCGCTACCACGGGATCCCTCGCAAGATCATCACCGACAGGGATTCGCGTTACATCAAGGGCTTCATGAGAGAGACGAATCGGATGTTGGGCGTGGAAATGAATCCGGGGACCGCATATCACCCGATCACGGATGGGCAGACAGAACGCATGAATCAGGAGATCGAGCATTATCTCCGCATCTACGTCAACTACCATCAGACGGACTGGTCGGAGTGGCTAGGAATGGCAGAATTCGCATATAACGATAAAATGAACACATCTACCAAAATATCGCCATTCTATGCGAATCACGGTTATCACCCATGGAAGGGAGTGGAGCAACGGATGGAGTCGAGAAACGAGTCGGCGGAGGAATTTGTAAAAAGAATGAAAGAAATACAAGACGAAGCAAAAACAGCACTAGAAAAGGCAAAAGAAAAAATGAAAAAATACTACGATAAACAAAGAAAAGAAGTTCCGGAGTTGAAGGTTGGGATGAAGGTGTACATAGAAGGGGAAAATATCGAGACGGATAGACCATCAAAGAAGATGAGCGACAAGAGATTAGGACCATACGAGATACTGGAGAAGGTTGGAGCGGCCGCATGGAAGCTGGATTTACCGGACACGGACCGAAGACATCCGGTGTTCAACGAGTCACTGTTGACCCCCTATCACGAACCACCCCCCCATCGCCGAGAGAAGAGGCCTGTAGCCAAGATGATCGGAGGAGCAGAGGAGTGGGAAGTCGAAGAGATCGTGAAGGAGCGAAACGTCGGCCGAGGAAAACAGTACTTGGTCAAATGGAAGGGATGGCCGCATAGCGAGAACACCTGGGAACCATCACGTCACCTTACCCACGCGAAAAAGGTCTTGAGAGATTGGCAGAGGAAACAATCCAACCCAGACACACGCATTCGCCTCCTGCCAACTCTCGAAGCCGGACATTGGGATTACCTCATCCATCGCTACAAACCCAAAGACGAGCGCCTTCCATACCCCCAACGACAACTCTTCGATCCGTACGAAAACGTCTTCACGCCCATTGGCCTAGTCGATGAGGACATCGACCCTAGAGAGGGGGTAATGTCATAATTCGACTCTTTTTCATCTTATCATCGATGATCTTATCTTATCTTGGCACGACTTATCTTATCACGGATCACGGCATCAGACGGTCCGGGCTAGGGGTTCCAGGGGTTATCTCTATCGATTCGAGGCTGCGCGACATATGCTCCGGAAGGTTCTACTACAACCCATGACCAGTGCTCCATGCGGTACATAGCCCTATGACTCATTAGTTGTAGATATGACTCAGACTGGATTTGGGTATAAATACTGTAGCTACTTGGTTGTATTCTCCAGTCTTCGAATTCACTTCTCTTTTCGACTTTGTTTTTGGGTTGATTGTCACAATACAAACAGATTGAAGGAGGACATAAGTTACAGTTTATCTGCCTCCCGCTGCTCACGTTCCCGGGCCCGTCGTTCCCTTGCCTTCATCTTCAGCCGCCAGCGATGACTTGTGAGGTGTAAGGAACCGGGCAGCGTGAAAAGCGACAGAAACGCACTTCTCCCTATACTTGGCCGCAGCCTCTTTGCGACGAATCTTCCGCTCCTCGTGCACCTGGGGGTCCACACCAACACCTGGATAGATGGCGGCCATGGCTTCGCGGCCCTTGCGGCGGAGGTATTTGCGGTTTCTGGGATTTGGTGTGGGATGGGGCGGTAGCAAGTGCGAGGGCTCACGTACTTGAGGTGATAGCGATAGCAGTAGATCGAGTGCATTTCCGGGCCAACCATGCTGGTGGTCGATGGTGGTCGAGAGTCAGAATGGAGTGATGTGACGTCTTGTGACGGTCCCAATATGGATAACGGAGACTAATCAACGACCTTTGACTTCGTACTAGGGCCCTGAGGTCATTGGAGGCTGGCAAACTTGGTAAGCGTCCT